AGGATCAGTGCTGCTTTCCAGCTGATTGGTGCTTCTTTAGGGCTCAGCAGAAGCACCAGGATCAGCGCTGAGCTCCAGCTGGAGTCTAGCGCTGATCCTGGCACTTCCGCTGAGCCCTGACAGCCCTGCAGCTCCAGCCGTCTCTCGCTCAGGCTTGTGCGGTGCTGCCACCGGTTCAGCTCATTCCCCTCCCCCGCTACCACTTTTCTAGGATGGTCGCGTACCACCTGCCAGGTGCCAATGTACTACAGGTGGTACCCGTACCACTGGTTGAAAAGCCCTGAGTTAGACATAACAATACTGGACCTAGGTTATAGAAATAAGAGATGATAAGAATTGGCGGGTTGGAGAACTGGAGGGAAAGCCTGCATTTCAAACTAATTGGAGAATGTGATTTATGACTGTTTAATTTAGAGGAGGGAATTGTGCTTTGATCCTATGCGCTCAGGGGAGGGGAATTCAGATTTTGGCTTCAACTATGTAAGTGCCGATGCTGTGCTTCTCAAATAAAGATTCTTTAAGGTAAACAATGCCTCGAAGTTCTTTGAAGAGTTTCATGTGTCGGAACCATGACTTTAAGGATGAAAGCCACGGTCCTCCACCGTTTGTAGCTGAAATAAGCTGATGGATAAATGAACAAGAGTTAGTGGAACAAAGAAGTGGCGAAGTTTGTGGGGAAGAAACTATAAACTGACAATGTCAGCTTCATCTAAAGAAAACATATACAAAATCTTCTATAGATGGCACCTGCCACCAACAAGATTAGCAAAAATGTTTAAAAACATGTCAGAGAAATGTTGGAAATGTAAACGCAAACCAGGGACTTAATTACCATATGTGGTGGACATGCGTTAAAGCAGTGGTTCTCAACCTGTGGGTCGGGACCCCATTTGGGGTCGAACGACCATTTCACGGGGGTCGCCAAACAACGCAGTCCGCCATTTTTTTCCCCTTTTCCTTAGCCGTGCTACTCCCTTGAAAGCCAATAGAATAGACTCTCTTGCATAGAGTCTAATTCTATTGGCTTTCCAAAGCCAATAGGCATTGTCCAGGCTGTCTCTGCCCTGCTGAGCCCGCCAAAAGTCCCATTCTGCAAATGGTGCTGCACCAGTTGAGTAGTCCTCGACTTACGACCGGTTGAGTAGTCCTTGACTTACAACCGGTTGGGGGTCGCGGCATTAAAAAGGTTGAGAACCGCTGACATAGACTATAAACCTGATTTTTTAAAAAAAAACTAGGTATAATGCCAGAAAAAAGTTGATAAGCAAAGTATGTACTTGTATTTAAATGGGACAACAGCAGCAAGAATTATATTTGCACAATACTGGAAGATGGAAGAAATACCACCAGGAGAAGAAATAATAAAAAAAAATACGAGACTGTGCGCAAATGGACAGACTTACTTTAAGGTTGAAAGAAAAAGAAGAAACAGAACATTTTCAAACTTGGGGACCTGTTTTATTGATGGTTAAAGATTTAGGGATTAGGAATTCAATTTGTATTAGTGAATAAGATACTCAGACAACACGTTTTTGTGGAATAATTATTACTGAACTCTGTTAAAAAACCAATAAAACTTTATATAAAAAAAAGAGTTAATGGAACAAAAATTACAGAAACTCTCAGGAGCAAAAATCTAGCATTCTTGAATTATTTACGGTGACATTCTCCATGTTACCAGGGATATTAACTGGAAAATCTGGACGATTTACCCCATAGAACTGCTCTGTCCTGTCTGAAAATTGCTCAGCCTTGCTTCTGGTCTCTCCCAAACCTGTTGACTTGGGAGGAAACAATTATTTGGCGTTTCCAGTTGGCTCTCTAGCACAATCTCCAAGGGCAATCTGAAATATGCCAAGATAGACACCCACTTCCTGCGGCTGGGCTCATGTTTTCCCTTTAATAATAATCAGCTGCCACAGCTTCCAACAAACAAAACAAAATGTAAATAAATTTCACTCTCCTTCCAGCTCACGGCCCATCTTTCCTCGACTTAACTTGATGTCCAATTTTCTCGCCATTCATATATATAATGTATGTATGTATGTATGCATGGGTAGTCCTTGACTCCCGACCATTTGTTTAATGACCTTGATTAAAGTGACTTATGACCTAATCAGTCAGAATGTTTTGAATATTGTGGGGAAAACAGATTTAAGGAAGAATGGAAGCAGGATTCCCGATGAGGCAATCAAGGTGATCAATGAAAAGAAGCTTTAAAAATATTGATGTGGTTATTACTTGCAGAAACCTGTGAAAAATGTTTACATTTAATGGTCGTTTATTTAAAGAAGAACTGTTATTAATTTTAAGGTTGGCAAAAAAAGAGTATTATTGGAAGCAGAGGAAACCAAGCAAAGCTATTATATGGACTACAGAATTAGGGAAATTAATTGTTATTGATTTAAGGTTGGCAAAAAGAGAGTATTATTGGCAGCAGAGGAAATCAAGCAAAGCTATTATATGGACCATAGAATTAGAGAAATTAATTGTTATTGATTGTTTTTTAAACACTAACCCAGACAACGTGATGTTTACCAAGTATTAAGGTGTATGTTAAAAATCAATAAAACATTTAAAAAATAAATAAATAAAGTGACTTATGACCACTTCCGGTAGTTCTCGATGTACAACCGTAATTGAGCCCCAAAATTTATGTAGCTAAGCGAAACGTTTGCTAAATGGGTTTTGCCCTGTTTTACGATCTTTCTTGCCACAGTTTTTTAGTTGTGTATCACTGCAGTTGTTAAGGCAGTACGATGATTGTGCAGTGAATCTGTCTTGCCCCTTGAATTTGCTTGTCAGAAGAATGCAAAAGGGGATCACGTGACCCCGGGACACTGCGACCGTCATAAATGTGAATCAGTTGCCAAGCATCTGAATTTCGATCGCGTGACCATGGGGATGCTGGAATGGTCGTTAAGTGTGAAAAATAGTCTCAAGTCCCTTTTTTGCAGTGCCGTTGTAACTTTGAATGGTCACTAAATGGATGTCAATTGAAGGCTACTTGTACATGACAATCACAAGGCGTAGGAATGTAAGGATTGTGGTTTTTTAATCTAGCAGCCTTAGTGAAGCTACCCAAGTGGTGGAGATCAACCATCAACAGCAAAGGTCCAAGTGGCCAAGAAATAGGCAGCAGGTGAATACTTAGCACAGTGGTTCTCAACCTTTTTAATGCCGCGACCCCCAACCGGTCGTAAGTCGAGGACTACTCAACCGGTCGTAAGTCGAGGACTACTCAACTGGTGCAGCACCGTTTGCAGAATGGGACTTTTGGCGGCTCAGCAGGGCAGAGACAGCCTGGACAATTCCTATTGGCTTTTGAAAGCCAATAGAATTAGACTCTATTCAAGAGAGTCTATTCTATTGGCTTTCAAAAGCCAATAGAATAAAAGGGAGGAGCACAGCTAAGGAAAAGGGGGAAAAAATGGCGGATTGGGTTGTTTGGCGACCCCCGTGAAATGGTCATTCGACCCCAAATGGGGTCCTGACCCACAGGTTGAGAACCACTGATTAGCAGAACAGATAGTACCTTTTGCAAGTAACTAGTAGTAACCAAAGGGAATAGTTATACAATAAATCAATTTAATAGATTGATTGGGGGAAGATGGCTCTGCTGGAGACGCCTGGAGGCTAAAACATATGAAGAACGATTACAGCAGGGGTCTTCAAACTTGGCCACTTTAAGACTTGTGGACTTCAACTCCCAGAATTCCTCAGCCAGCCCTGGATATACACACATATCTATATACATCTCTCTATATATATATTTATACATACATATACACATCTATCTGTCTGTCTGTCTGTCCCTAATAACTATAAAAATGCGAATCCCAGGCATATCAGTACAGCAATATAAAATCCTCGAAGTCTGGGATGAATACAAAACAGCTGTTTATTGTTAACATAATAAAAATATTTATTTTTTTAACAATAAACAGCTGTGTTGTATTCATCCCAGAGTTTGAGGATTTTATATTGCTGTATATAGATAGATAGATAGATAGATAGATAGATAGATGGGGATGGAGAGAGAGAGAGAAAGATAGATAGAGAGGGATAGATAGATAGATAGATAGATAGATAGATAGATAGGATGGAGAGAGAGAGATAAGATAGATAGAGAAGGATGGATAGATAGATAGAAGGGGATGGATAGAGAGAGATAAGATAGAGAGAGGGATAGATAGATAGATAGATAGATAGATAGATAGATAGATAGATAGGGATGGAGAGAGAGAGATAAGATAGAGAGGGATAAGATAGATGGGATGGAGAGAGAGAGAGATAAGATAGAGAGGGATGGATAGATAGATAGATAGATAGATGGGGATGGAGAGAAAGAGAGATAAGATAGAGAAAGAGAGGGATAGATAGATGGATGGGGATGGATAGATAGATAGATAGATAGATAGATAGATAGATAGATAGATGGGGATGGAGAGATAGATAGATGGATGGGGATGGAGAGAGAGAGATAAGATAGAGAGAGGGATAGATAGATAGATAGATAGATAGATAGATAGATAGATAGATGGATGGGGATGGAGAGAGAGATAAGATAGAGAAGGATAGATAGATGGGATGGAGAGAGAGAGATAAGATAGATAGATAGAGAGGGATGGGTAGATAGATAGATAGATAGATAGATAGATAGATAGATAGATGGGGATGGAGAGAGAGAGATAAGATAGAGAAAGAGAGGGATGGATAGATAGATAGATAGATGGATGGGGATGGAGAGAGAGAGATAAGATAGATAGAGAGATAGAGCGGGATGGATAGATAGATAGATGGATAGATAGATAGATGGATGGGGATGGAGAGAGAAAAGAGAGAGATAAGACAGACAGACAGACAGACAGACAGACACACACAAACGGGCCACAACCAGAGGTGCCTCCAGAAACCCTGCAGCCAGGCGCGCGCATGCGCTTTCGGCGCCGCCGCGGCCAACCAGCCGGTCTCGCCAAGGGCGCCTGGTCGGCGCGACGCTTCGGCTTCGCTCTCCGCGAGCTGGGAAGGCCTCGTCGGGACCCGTAGAACGCCATCCGCGAGACCCGGAAGGAGAGGCAAACCGGAAGTGGGGAAGTTGAAGCCGATGCTGAGCCCCAGTGCGGAGTTTGGGCAGGTGAGCGAGGGGGCTCCCCTTGCCCCACTGGGGCTGGGACTGGAAGGGGGGGGACTGGGGGAGGGGAGGGTCTCCTTCTGCTCGCCTCCTCCTTCCTTCGTCCGGGGGTGGGCTGCCTAGCCTCCCCCCTTCCCCATAGGGAAGCCCTGCCAGGTTGCCAGGTTGCCAGGCGAGGCTATATGGGGGGGGGAGAGACCTCTCATAGGCTCCCTTGCAAACACCTCGGCCCCCCTTCCCTCCACTTGCTCTTCCTCCAGAGGTCTTCATGGGTGCCTTTCAAATGAGGGGAGATGGAGGCAGCTTCCCCAGTAAAATGCAATGAGCACAATGGGGGAGGGAGCGGGGGAAGGGGGTGGGCGGGGAGGGTTACAGGCAAACCGGGGTAAGCCAGAATCCAGGGCGGGACAGGGCTGCTGGTGGCGTTAATGGGTGGGACGTGGAGGGGAGACCACTGGGAAATCCCCACCTTTGGGCTTTAGGTCTGGAAGACGGAAAAAACAGCCTCAGAAATGGCTGGGGGGGGGGAGCTAAACTTTTCTGCATTTGTTTATTTTGCTTTTATTGCTTGCACAAAGAACTCAAGGCAGCGAACATACCTAAGACTTTTCCCTTCTATTTTCCCCACAATAACAACCTGGTGAGGCGGGTTGGGCTAAGAGAAAGGGACTGGCCCAAAGTCACCCACCTGGCTTTCAGGACTAAGGCGGAACTAGAACTCACTGTCTCCTGGTGACTGGCCCAAAGTCACCCAGCCAGCTTTCATGGCTAAGGTGGAATTAGAACTCACCATCTCCATTGATTGGTCCAAAGTTATCCAACTGACCTTAATGCCTAAGGTGGGACTAGAACTCACCATCTCCTGCTGTCTAATCTGATGCCTTCACTGATAGACTAAATTGGATGTTCTAGCCAAGGAAATTGTGTATATCACCTTGGTGCCTGGAGAAGACTTGGACAAGGGAGAGGTTTAAATGTTACATTGTTTAGAAGGATGCATATATTGTCCCTGTTGAAAGACACAAGGTACCTAAAGCAGTAATAATATACATGATAAGATAACTCACAACTAAGCACATTAACCACCCCAAAAATCCACACCCTAATTCAAACAATGTCATTATATTTACCCCCAAACGTAATGCTCTTCTTAAAATATCCCAATAAAAATGGTAGCTAAGTGTCAGCACAGCATAAATTCTCACCCAAGCTAGATAGAATAGAATAGAATAGAATAGAATAGAATAGAATAGAATAGAATAGAATAGAATTGGAAGGGACTCTCAACATCTGTTTTGTGATATGGTGACCAAAATTGGCTGCAGTATTCCAAGTGTGGCCTCACTAGGGTTTTATAAAGCAGTACTAATACTTTGCGTGATCTTGATTCTATGCCTCTGTTTATACCAGGGCTTTTCAACCAGGGGTACGGGTACCACCTGTGGTCCATTGGCACCTGGCAGGTGGTACATGACCATCCTAGAAAAGTGGTAGCGGGGGAGGGGAACGAGCTGAACCGGAGGCAGCACCGCACAAGCCTGAGTGAGAGATGGCTGGAGCTCAGCGGAAGCGCCAGGATCAGTGCTGCTTTCCAGCTAATCGGCGCTTCTTCGGGGCTGTCAGGGCTCAGCGGAAGCGCCAGGATCGGTGCCAGGCTCCAGCTGTAGCTCGGCACTGATCCTGGTGCTTCTGCTGAGCCCAGAAGAAGCACCAATCAGCGGGAAAGCAGCACTGATCCTGGCACTTCTGCTGAGCCCAGAAGAAGCGCTGATCAGCTGGAATGTTGCAGCCTCTCCAGGGTCTTGTGATTTTCAATCAGGTGCTTGGCAACTGATTCATATTTATGATGGTCACAGTGACCCAGGGTCATGGGAAGTGACCAAAACGTGCTTCAACCACCCAGCAGACGAGGGGAATAAAAACCAAACACCCCCCCCACCCCACCCCCGCTGCCAGTCCTGAACAGAAATGCTCACAACAATGAAAACCTCGGACGGGAGGAAGAGCTCCGCCGGGTGGGCAGGCAGGTGTCTTGCTCGGCTGTGGTTCGGGGGGCATTTTTTTCAGTGCCGTTGTGACTTCAAACAGTCACTAAGCGAACTGTTGTAAGTCGAGGACTACCTGTACTTTATCAAGTTTTTGACACCTTGCTAGGCGACTGGTGGTCCTCGGATGTTGCCATATCCTAAAAGTGGTACAATGGGTGAAAAGGTTGGAAAGCCCTGGTTTATACAACCCAGGATTGTATTAGCTTTTTTGGTTGTTGCTGCACACTGCTGGCTCATAGTTAAGTGATCATCGAGATAGATAGATAGATAACCTTTATTGTCATTTTTTTTTTACTGTGGGCATAATGGTACACATTAAAAAATGAAATTTAGTTGCTTGCTCTCAAAGTGTACACATACACCACACATTTAAACAGACTATATAAAACGTACCGTAAATGCCGGTGTACAAGGCGACCTTGCGTATAAGACGACCCCCGTCTTTATAGCTTGGCTGCATTCCTAGAACGTCGTCTTATACGCCAGAAACTACCAGTATTTCTGGCGTATAAGACGACCCGGCGTATAAGACGACCTCTGTCTTTGGCGCCGATTCCAGCGCTCGCGGAAGTCGCCTTATACGCCGGCATTTACGGTATGTATCGACCTACACCCTTACATATAAGTAACATATAAATATTAATCACTGTCCATCTGGAATACATAACGCAGTGGTTCTCAACCTGTGGGTTGGGACCCCATTTGGGGTCAAACGACCATTTCACAGGGGTCGCCAAACAACACAGTCCGCCATTTTTTTTCCCCTTTTCCTTAGCTGTGCTACTCCCTTTTATTCTATTGGCTTTCGAAAGCCAATAGAGTAGACTCTCTTGAATAGAGTCTAACTCTATTGGCTTTCCAAAGCCAACAGGAATTGTCCAGGCTGTCTCTGCCCTGCTGAGCCCGCCAAAAGTCTCATTCTGCAAACGGTGCTGCACCAGTTGAGTAGTCCTCGACTTATGACCAGTTGGGGGTCGCGGCATTAAAAAAGTTGAGAACCACTGACATAATGGAAAGAGGAAACTTTAGAATCTCTATTCATGCTTTCTCCAATCGGGTATGCCCTAGTCCAGAGGTCCCCAACCTTTTGGGCACCAGGGACCGGTTCCGTGGAGACAGGTTTTTCCGTGGACTGGAGAGTGTGTGGTTTTGTGTGCTGCCTGCATCCCACGGAAGGGGCTTTGCTTGTTTGTGCAGACCAGTTGCTGACATGCTGTGGCCCGATACCGGTCCACAGATTGGGGGTTGGGGACCCCTGCCCTAGTCCACACATCTTAAAATTGACCCAGTATTAAGGTTGTTTCTCTCCATTTAGCACTGTATCTCCTTTGAGGTTGTATAGCAAAATGAAAGAACGAATGGACTAAGTCCTCGATTTACAACAATGGGTTCTGTGACCGTTTGACGTTACAACGGCACTGCCAAAAAGTGACTTAGGACCGTTTTTCCACACTGACGACCGCTGCGGCCTCCGCCTGGTCACGTGGTCAAAATTCAGACGCTTGTCAACTGACTCGTATTTACGATGGTTCCAATGTCCCCCAAGTCACCTGATTCTGTTTGCAACCTTCTGACAAGCAACGTCAAGGGGGGGGGGGAAGCCAGGATCGCTTAACAGCTGTGTCAGTAACTTAACAACTGCAGTGATTCAGAAAAGTCGTTTAAATGGAGCAACCCTCGCTTTCACGATGGTCTTGCTTAGCCCTGGAATTGGCCTCAATTGTGGCCCTATGTTGAGGACTCCCCGTAACGGTTTGTCGGAAGGTTAGGACGAGAATTGAACTTATGTACCGTCCTGACAAGTATCAAAGATGTATACTGTATCTTTATTAACAGAGGGAGAGAATCAAGATCATGTGAAGTGTTAATACCACTTTACAAGGCCTTGGTAAGGCTGCACCTGGAATACAGCATCCAGTTTTGGTCACCACGATGTAAAAAAGATGTTGAGACTCTAGAAAGAGCGCAGAGAAGAGCAACAAAGATGATTAGGGGACTGGAGGCTAAAACATACAAGGAACGGTTGCGGGAATTGGGCATGCCTAGTTTAATGAAGAGAAGGACAAGGGGGGACATGATAGCAGTATTCCAATCTCTCAGGGGCTGCCACAAAGAAGAGGGAGTCAAGTTATTCTCCAAAGCCCCTGAAGGCAGGACAAGAAGCAACGGATGGAAACTGACCAAGGAGAGAAGCAACCTAGAACTAAGGAGAAACTTCCTGACCGTGAGAACAATTAACCAGTGGAACCACCTGCCTCCAGAAGCGGTGAATGCTCCAACACTGGAAGTTTTTAAGAAGAGACTGGACAGCCATTTGTCCAAAATGGTATAGGGTTTCCTGCCTGAGCAGGGGGTTGGACTAGATGACCTCCAAGGTCCCTTCCAACACTATTATTATTATTGTTATTATGGATCATTGCACAGTCAGCCAGATGTTCAGACTGGATTTGGCATTCTGTCTACCTATCGAGTCCTTACCCAGGACCTGGGATAGGCAGATGTGGATGTTTGATGGTATTACAGATATCGTCGCAGGATGGCAGCAGTTCCTAATAAGGCCGCCTTTTGCAATTGACTAATAGCGAATTTGTCAATGCCAATTGTGTTCAAGTGGTGCTCCAGTTGTTTTGGGATTGCACCCAAGGAGCCTATGACTATTGGTACTACCCTTGCTTGCTTTTGCCACAGTCTTTCTATTTCTATTTGTAGGTCTTTGTATTTTGTTATCTTCTCCAGTTCTTTCTCGTCTATTCTGCTGTCTATTATTATTATTATCGATCATCACACAGTCAGCCAGATGTTCAGACTGGATTTGGCATTTTGTCTACCTATCGAGTCCTTACCCAGGACCTGGGATAGGCAGATGTGGATGTTTAATGGTATTACAGATATCGTCGTAGGATGGAAGCAGTTCCTAGTAAGGCTGCCTTTTGCAATTGACTAATAGCGAATTTGTCAATGCCAATGGTGTTCAAGTGGTGCTCCAGTTGTTGTTGTTGTTGTTGTTATTATTATTATTTGTGCTCCTTTTCAGCCAGTAGTGTTCTGGGAGTATGGAGCCACGAGGGTGCGTCCACAGCCCAGCTGCCCATCCTGGGAAAGACGGGCCCAGCAAGCCGTACAGGAACGCTTACGCCAGGCTTGTGCAGAAGCACCACAGCGGCCGCTTCCGCTCCTACCTCAACCACATCGCTCAGAAGCTGCAGCCGGAGGGGAACCTTTTCCAGGACTTGGCTCCAGAGGTGGAGCCGTCTCCGAAAAGGGGTCCCGGGAGAGAAGCGCCGGTGAAGAACGGGATGAAGCCAGGCCGGGCTCCTCCCGCTGGCACCTTGCAGTCCCTCCAGCCAGACCTCAGAAACTTTGAGGGGCTGCGAAGCAGCAAAGAGGACCGTTCGGTCAGCAGCCCGCAGCCCCGTCGAGGAGCTCCTGGTGGTGGGAAGAGAGAGGAGGAAGAGGAGGAGGAGGGAGAGGAGGAGGAATCAGCAGCAGAAGAAGAGGAGGTCCTTTCTAATCGACCTGCAGATCCGATAGTCGTCTTGAGAACCAAACTTCACCAAGTGCGCGGGCAGGAGACGTCCAGACCGCTGGAGAAGACTCCCAACTCTGGAGAGAGGAGCAAAGTGGAGCTTTGGAAAAACAAAGGCAGCGGCCCTTTGGCTCCCATGGATGGCAGCGGCGTCTGCCTGCCCGCAGGACAACTGAGCCTGGAGCTGCCTTCCGCCACTGCCAGCTGCTCGTCGCCTCGGCAGATCTACGGTGAGTTGATGGTATCTCAGGTGGCTGCCGGGATTTGTTGTTTGGGCGAGAAGCCGTGGCTTTCAAGAGCCTGGTTGGGGACCCACCGTTGTTGCTGTGGATTGGGCCACCTGCTTGCTTATGGGCTGCTCAGGATGGAGGGTCTTACCAACTCTTCCGGCTGGGCGAGTGAGAGGAATCTAAGAGAAGAGGATATTGGTAGCTCAGGGCTGAACTGTGGGGTCCTTGGTGGTCTTTGAGCTTGGTGGTTTTCTTGCAGACATTTCATGACCCAACTAGGTAGCAACATCAGTGCTAGAAGGGAATGGGAGGAGGAAGAGGAGAAGGAGGAGGAGAAGGTGGAAGAAGAGAAGGAGGAGGAGGACTGTGTGGTCCTTGGTGCTCTCTGAGCTTGCAGACGTTTCATGACCCAATTAGGTAGCAACATCAGTGCTGGAAGGGAAGAGGAGGAGGAAGATGGAGAAGGTGGTGGTGGTGCTGGAGGTGGTGGTAGTGAAGGAGGAGGAGGAAGAAGAGGAGGAGGACTGTGTGGTCCTTGGTGCTCTCTAAGCTTGGTGGTTTTCTTGCAGACATTTCATGACCCAACTAGGTAGCAACATCAGTGCTGGAAGGGAAGGGGAGGAGGAAGATGGAGAAGGTGGTGGTGGTGGTGGAGGTGGTGGTGGCGGAGGAGGAGGAGGAGGAGGACTGTGTGGTCCTTGGTGCTCTCTGAGCTTGCAGATGTTTCATGACCCAACTAGGTAGCAATATCAGTGCTGGAAGGGAAGAGGAGGAGGAAGAGGGAGAAGGTGGTGGTGGTGGAGGAGGAGGAGACTGTGTGGTCCTTGGTGCTCTCTGAGCTTGGTGGTTTTCTTGCAGACGTTTCATGACCCAACTAGGTAGCAACATCAGTGCTGGAAGGGAAGAAGAGGAGGAGGAGGAGGAGGGAGAGAAGATGGAGGAAGAGGAGGAGGACTATGGGATCCTTGATGCTCTTTGATCTGGGGTTGTTTTTCTGCAGACATTTCATGACCCAATTAGGCAGCACCATCAATGCTAGTAGGAAATTGGGTTTGCTGCCTGTTTGTATATTCAAGTAGTTCTTGACTTAACGACTGCAATGGGGATTGGCTCCATAAGGTGAGGACTACGTCTGCCAGATTGGCAAATCCGATGTCAGCCAAAAAAAAAACAAAGCTGGGGAGAGGAGGGTTGCCAGAGATGACCCCTTGCGGGCGGGTGGGCAATGAAAAGCAGGAGTCCAGGATTTTGCACATGGATTTTTGTGCCACACCCTCCGCCATCCAGTCCATCTTCCTGTCAGTCTGGTCATGAACAGTCAACAACCTTCAATAGAAGGGAATCTCTGTAGCTCAGGGTTGAACTGGGGGATCCTTGGTGCTCTCTGAGCTTGGTAGATGTTTTTTTTTTTTACGCAGCTAAGTAACACCATCAGTGCTAGAAGGGAATGGAGGGAGGAGGAGGAGACTGTGGGGTCCTTGGTGCTCTCTGAGCATGGCTGTTTTCCTGCAGACGTTTCATGATCCAACTAGGTAGCATCATCAGTGCTAGAAGGAAGTGGGGTTTGCAGAGAGGAGGAGGAGAAAGAGGAAGAACATGATGATGGTGAAGGTGAAGATGATGATGATTGTGGAGTTCTTGGTTGTTGTTCAACTTGGCTGTTTTCTTGCAACTGAGAAAACATTCTCATTACCCAACTCGGTTATATCATCAGTGCTAGAGGAGAAATCTGTCTTCAGTCCTGACCTGCTTATGGAAAAACATGAGACTCAGAAATGAAATAGAATATAAAAATGGAATAGAATAGAACAGGAATAGAATAGAATGGAATGGAATGGAACAGAATAGATATTGGAAAATAGAATAGAATCTAATGGAATGGAACGGAACAGAACAGAATGGAACAGAATAGAATAGATATTGGAATATAGAATAGAATGGAATAGAATGGAATGGAACGGAACGGAACAGAACAGAACAGAACAGAATAGAATAGAATAGAATAGAATAGATATTGGAAAATAGAATAGAATGGAATGGAACGGAACGGAACAGAATAGAATAGAATAGATTAGATATTGAAATATAGAATAGAATGGAATGGAACGGAACGGAATAGAATAGATATTGGAAAATAGAATAGAATGGAATGGAATGGAACGGAACGGAACGGAATGGAACAGAATAGAATAGAATAGAATAGAATAGAATAGAATAGAATAGAATAGAATAGAATAGAATAGAATAGAATAGAATAGATATTGGAATATAGAATAGAATAGAATAGAATGGAATAGAATAGAATAGGAAGGGACCTTGAAGGTCTTCTAATCTAGCCCTCTGCTCAAGCAGGACACCCTATATACCATCTCACACAAATGACTGTCCAGTCTCTTCTTAAAAACCTCCAGTGATGGAGCGCCCACGATTTCTGGAGGCAACTTCTGTTCCACTGGTTGATTGTCCTCACTGTCAGGAAGTTTCTCTTTAATTCTAGGTTTCTTCTCTCTTTGGTCAGTTTCCAACTATTCTATTCTATTCTATTCTGTTCGGTTCGGTTCGGTTCCTTTTCTATATTCTATTCTTTTCTAATTATTATTCTATTCCTATTCTACTCTACTCCACTCTACTCTATATTTCTCCTGTTCCACTCCACTCCGTTCCATTCCATTCCATTCCATTCCATTCTATTCTATTCTATTCTAATTATTATTCTATTCTAATTATTCTGTTCTACTCTATTCTATTTGCAATTCTATTCTATTCTAATTCTATTCTATTTGTAATTCTATTCTATTCTATATTCTATTTGTAATTCTGTTCTATTCTATATTCTATTCTATTCTGTTCTATTCTTTTCTGTTCTATTCTATTCTATTCTATTCTATTCTATTCTATTCTATATTCTATTTGTAATTCTATTCTATTCTATTTGTAATTCCATTCATATTTTCTTTTCTATTCTACTCTACTCTACTCTACTCTACTCTACTCTACTCTACTCTACTCTACTCTTTTTCCTTGCAGTCATCTGGTCGTTGATGAGAAACGTTGAGGCCACTTGGAAGTTTATCTATCCAACAACCCTTTGCACTATTCCGGTGACCCTGAGGGCATGGTTAAACCTCCAGGTGGCTTCCACAACCCTGAGGGAGAGTACTAAAGACCAGATGACTGCAAAGAACATAAACCCTTCCATTCTCCACCACCATTCCGTTAGAACTGAAGAAGCCCCTTGGACGAGAAGCGAAACGTCTTCAAGGACAAACAAAGTCCAGCTGCCTTTTGGAAAAAAAAAAAAACCCTTGGGGATACCGCCCCCTCTATCTGCTTTCTTTCTCTCCAGAGTTTCTCAAAAACTGCCCGCAATCCCCCTTGTCCAAAGCTAGCAAAGAAGCAATATCTTTAACCGTGTTTTTCCTTTCCTTTCCTTTCCTTTCCTTTCCTTTCCTTTCCTTTCCTTTCCTTCTTTTCTTTTCTTCTTTTCTTTTCACCCCCTGCAGTCTGTTCTAAAGCATCTCTGGATCTTTTTATAGCCCAGCGGGCCTTCCTTTCCGTCCAGAGTAGAAGGAGGGGTGTGTGTGTATGAAATGGTTTACAGTGTCTTGCAGCAAGCAGGGGGTGGCAGATGTGTGGCAGCTGGATCAACAAGGACGGAGGCATTCCTTGGAATCAGGGAAAGGAGCAGGGTCTGGAGGCAGGGAGACGGAGGTGGCCCGGGGGTCACGAGCAGGGTGGAGCCGGTTCACGGAGAGTCCGACAGAACCGCTGGTGGGCCTCCGTCCCTTCTCTGCCAATGCAGAGGTTGCAGCCCTGCCAGAGGCCCAGAGATATTTGGATAAATCTTTATCCCCCCCTGCTACTAACTGCCTTTCGGGGCCAAATCTCCCTCCGGTGGGCTGCCAAATAACGGAACAGTATCTTTGGCTCTTGCGAATCTGGCTGGGGCTTCAACCCGTCGGGCAATCGGGCGCAGAGGCCCGGTGGGAGGGGTGTGTGTGTCTTCTGAAAGCGCTAAGGCACCCCGGCCCGCACGCGCGCTTGTGGCAAAAAGGGGGGGGTGGCTCCTCGACTTAACGACCACAATTCAGCCCCAGATTTCCACAGCCGTTGAGTGGGTTTTGCGCCATTTTTCTTGCCGCGGTCGTTAAACGGATCACTGCGGTCGTTACGTTAGGAAGCGGGTGGCTAAGGGGACCTGGCTCCCCCCCGTTGACTTTGCTCGTCAGCAGGCCGCCCAAGGGGAGTCACGGGGCCCTCCCGCCATTAAGCGAAATCGCTGCAGCCGCGAAGTGAATCGTGCGGTCGTTAAGCGAGTCTGGCATTCCCCTCCCCCCACATTGAATTGGCTGGCCGGAAGCTGGCTGGGAAGGTGACAAATGGCGATCACGTGACTCTGGGACACTGCAACCGTCATAAATCTGAACCAGTGGCCAAACTGCTGAGGATGATAGAATAGAATAGAATAGAATAGAATAGAATAGAATAGAATAGAATAGAATAGAATAGAATATAAATATCAGAATAGAATAGAATAGAACAGAATAGAACAGACTAGAAATAACAGAATAGAAATAAGAATAGAATAGAATGGAATGGAATGGAATGGAATGGAATGGAATGGAATGGAATGGAATGGAATAGAATAGAATAGAATAGAATAGAATAGAATAGAATAGAATAGAATAGAATAGAATAGAGACTAGACTAGACTAGACTAGACTAGAATAGAATAGAAATAACAGAATATAAATATCATAATAGAATAGAATAGAACAGAATAGAAATAAGAATAGAATAGAATAGAATAGAATAGAATAGAATAGAGACTAGACTAGACTAGAATAGAACAGAATAGAAATAACAGAATAGAAATATCAAAATAGAATAGAATAGAACAGAATAGAAATAACAGAATAGAAATAACAGAATAGAATAAGAATAGAATAGAATAGATTAGAATAGAAATAAGAATAGAATAGAATAGAATAGAATAGAAT